TCAGCTGAATAAGTTCTTGAAATATAAATATAGAAATATGAATATGAGTAATTGTACGTGTGATACTGCGCAATGTGCGGCGCAGCAGTTTCACAAAATATAATGATAATATTAAAAAAACATAGAAATGATGTCGTTTCACGTGACTTCCGCAGTAATTTGGTTTGGTTGGATCGGCAACGCGGGACCTCTCTATCGGTCCTTATTTTACTATCTCACAATGTATATTTATACCTTCAACAGTATTATGATAATATGACCTGCTAATTTAAAAATATAAGGAGCAATTTTTCCACCTTGTTCCTTTTTCAAAATACTTCTAATGGTGCTGTAATTCTTTGGTTCCATAGTAGACCTGATATAAATGAGTTTCATATTAACTATTTTTGTCTAGATAAATATCATTGAACACATTATATTGTAACACAATTGTGATGTTAAACAAACACTATTGATCCCTGAAATTCTTGGTAACATCAATATTCACTTTGTCTGGTTTTGTTGCAGTATACTCCATATAATGTAATGGATAAGTGAACAATGGACACACATAGGTAAGTGGTTCAATTTCCAATGTAAAGAAAAAAACCCTGTCTGAGTTTAAAATAAACAAATGAATGAGTGAGTTTCAAGATTTAGCAAATCTTTGATAAAAATTAGTGAATAATCATTTAGTAATTGGTATAAAAGATCAGCTAAAGTTCAGGGTGTCTGATAGGATACATTTTTTTGCCTGAAGTTTACTGATTTTTGGATACTGGGTTTCTACCTTTTGGTTGCCAATGTGCACCAAAATTCAATAACAATCACATATGAGAAAATCATCACTGTTCTTAAAATAGGTAAAAATCATCTAAAAATCAGGTATATTCTTCTGCTTCTAATGGGGAGGTAAATGATAATTCATTGATTAAATTTTCAATAACAACTCTTTCTTAATTTGATAACTCTTCAATTATTTGAGTTGAATTTTCAATTTCATTATTAGATGGCTCATTTTCCAGAGGAAGAATCCCTGTCTTTTTCCAACAATTGATAATGGTGGTTGGTGTTACATTACCCCAAGCTCTTGCAACATATTTTATTGCCTTTTTTATATCAATACCATCAGGTAAAAAATTAGAATTAGAAAACTGTAAATCATAATCTTTTATTTTCTTTTCAAGTAATAGTTTCCAGTAATTTGCCTGTAATACATAAATATTTATAAAATAAAATATTTATAGACTTAGAAACTATAAATTATTCCTGCATCACATGGTTGCAGGTATACATGAAGTCGAAATTAAAACCCCAAAGTTGAAATGTTTTGACTTGAGGAAACTACATAGTAAGAATCAGTTTTGACCCAGTAGGGAGAGATTCAGTATGGTATAACTCTTGCAGAACGTATGGTATGGTATGGTATAGCCCATATTTTTCCATACCAAGTCACACAAAATTTTATTCTAAATCCTTTTTTGGTGGGTGTGAAGGGAAGTATGTTAGATTTAAGCATTGGTATACAACCATTTTATTACACTTATACAATACCATACCATACTGAATGTCCCTATACTCTATATACATGCACAAAATTTTTTTGCAGATCACAAGATCAATGAATTTCCAACACTGTATGTCCATGAAAAAAAAATGCGTCATGTAGGACCCCGAAGACTACATAGATAGGTTATCCCAAAATTTACCCAAAATCTAATTGGCTAATCGAGAAAATCTGCACTAATATGGTCAAATTACGGCCATCTTTGGTAATGATATTCGCGCGCTCAATATTAAGTTTACCCAAATTTAGTGTAACCTATCTATGTAGTTTCCGGGGTCCTCATCATGTGCATAATGCACATGATTTTTTTTTCAAATCATGCAATGTCCTATATACAATTCTATTCAAAAAAAATGTGAATTTTAATTTTTACCAAGTTATTATTAATTATATTATTGATAGTATTTTAAAATGACATAATCAAAAACTTGGCCTCATTTGTTAAACTGGGTAGAATTGATAATTTCATTAGCTTTCCAAAAGGAATTGGTTTACTTTTTCTTTTATAAATGATAAAGAGAGAAATAAACTATTGATACCTGAATGTGTTTTATATTTATTTTAATTACAAATTAAAATGTCCAAAAAATACCAACAATGATAATATGGATATTACAATTGATGGCGATGGAAATGCGGGAGGCAAAAATGATAAAAGTGATAATGATGATGAAACAATTAGATATTTATTTTTATATTTTTTTTTAGATATATTTATTTTTTTAAAAAAAATGCAATAAAACGTGCATGATGCACATGAAATTAAGGATACTGGCTGCAACTTTTGATGATGGATGCTACCATCTTTGCATCATATAAAAATGATTACAACTGTTGGTTGCAACCGCCTTTACAACTATTTTGTTTCCTTTTTTGGTTTGTGACATGGAACACTAGTGTTGCTTCCTTTGCATGCTGCTGCAATTTCTTTTTTGATTCGGCTTCAACTACCTCCGATTGAACTTCAGAGTAACTGTTTCTGACACTTTGTGATGATGGCATATTATTATTATATTAATATAGAAAAAACGATATTAAAAAATACATTGCGTGCAAAGTGCGAAATCCTATTATAAAATTCCAGACATTTTAAAAAATTTTGGGAATTGGCCATTTTCCGGTTACACGTGTATAGATTAAAATTTTACTTGTTTTTACGTAATACTAATACAAATTCTTATTATTATTAAACCTTATTTCGAATAAAAAACCATACTACTACTACTATTTATTATTATTTGAGAAAAATTTATCCGATATTTTTTGATAAAATTTTCCCAAACTGGGCAATTCCCCCGATATTTTTGGTCATGAGGAAATTTTTAATATAAAGTATGCTAGTATAAAAAAGTAAATTATTTTAATCATAAAAAACTTTTTTTTTCTCGTTTTTTTAATAATAATAAAAAATGGTATCCTCAGATAATGCTATCATTTTAAAGCCAACAGGCGATCCCATGCCACTCATTGGTTTCGGTACATGGCAAATACCTAAAGATATAGCTGCTGATACTGTTTATCATGCTTTAAAAAATGGTTATCAATTATTAGTAAATACTCTTTTTAAATGTTTTTGTTTGTTCCAATTGTAATTTATTGATAATTATTTAACAATTTAACAATTTATGTGTGTATATAAATGCAGGATGGATCGCCTGACTATGGTAATGAAAAAGAAGTGGGTGAAGGAATTAAGAAAGCAATTGATGATGGGTTTGTAAAACGTGAAGATATTTTCATCACATCCAAGGTAATAAACAAATAAACAAGTATATATTTAATTAATTGGATGAAAGAATTCTTTTTTAAAAATTTATTAATTATTAATTTGTAAATAGCTATGGAACACTTATCATAAAAAAGAACATGTTAGACCAGCTCTTGAGAGAACACTTAGTGATCTTAATGTGAAATATTTAGATCTCTATTTGATTCATTTCCCTATATCATTGAAATATGTTGATCCAAAAGAACGTTATCCTCCTGAATGGTATTATGACACTAAGAATAAGGTTTGTATTCAAGAAGATGTCACTATTAGAGAAACATGGGAAGCTATGGAAGAATTGGTTGACGCTGGATTAGTTAGGGTAAATATATATAAGAGAGTGTGTATATCAGAATGGTGTGTGTTTGTGTATATATGTGTTTTACATACAACTCATTCACCTTATAATACAGAATATTGGAGTTTCTAATTTTAATGCAGTGCTAATAATGGATTTGTTGAAATATGCACGTATCAAACCATCAGTGCTACAAATAGAACACAATCCATACTTGACGCAAGAACAATTGGTAGATTATGCAAAATCTCTAGGTTTGGCAGTGACTGCCTACTCATCTCTAGGTTCAAGTAATTATGCAGTGACAAGTGACGTGGGTATTCCTCACATTTTAAAAGCACCTAAATTGGAACAGGTTGCAAATAAATATAGTAAATCTACTGCTCAGGTTTGCCTTCTTTTCATATATTTAAAATGAGTAGTGGTAGTTGCAGCAGTGATAATAATAAAAAAATATAATTCTTGTTATTATAATGATAGGTGGCACTTCGTTGGGCAATTCAACGTAACATTGCAGTTATACCAAAATCAAACAATCAAAATAGAATTGTTGAAAATTCTAAAATTTTAGATTTTACTTTGACTGATGAAGAAATTAAAGAAATCTCTTCGTTAAATAGAAATATAAGATCTATTGATCCTGGTGTATTTTTTGGGATTCCTATTTTTGCTTGAATAATCTACTTTTGAGGTTGGAAAGTATGAGTAAATGAATGAAAATTTTTTTTTATTTGCTCAATTGTAGTAGTAATAATATAGTGTAGAAAAAGTTTATTTAAAATAAGAAAATTTTGTAAATAAATATATTTAATAATATTAAATAAAATTTCAAAGTGTTTTTTTCTTTAATCAAGTCTAATTTCACCATCGTTAAAGACATCTTGCGCAATAGCATTAACTTCATCCTACCATTTATACATGTAATTATTTTCAATTTTTTATGTCTATTGATATAACGAATATTGTAAATCCGAAATTGCTTGCCAAAATTGATTTTTTCAAAAACTATTTCAGCTAATATCCTTAGTCCAAGCCAGTTCCAAATTCCTATAATTCTAAAGATACTGGATTCTCAAGGAATCCTGTTACTTATCTCCAATAAGTAATTCATATTAAATCGTTACTGCAAACAAATTTAACTTAATTAGTAGCTTGTAAGGAAAAAATCCGTTCTAGAATTAGCAATTTACTTGGAACCAATTTGGAACTGCCCCATCCCTATTTATTGTGCACCATATCTAAAGATATCAAAAAAAATTGCAAGTCTTCAACCCCTGATAGCTTTAGAAATGTTTGTTGACCCACAAAAAACTCTCTATTTTTGCAATCTTTGGACATAAGCAACGACGTAATAGAGAGATTTTTAAGTAAAAAAAATTATGGGTTTAAAAGTAAGTAATTTTATTAATTTTATTATATATTAATTCGGCACGCCGATCAATTAATTTGTCCAATCAGAAAACGAACGTAGATCAAATTTTATCACGTGATGCATCAAACGATTTTTTTTAAGACGTAGTCTTCCCGTGACATTTTATTTGGTTGAACTTTACATTTTTAAATGCACAACCCCCTATAATACTAAAAGTATCCATTTGAAGCGACTTGACGTCGTACACATCTCCACGTGGCCTCTTTTCTTAAAAAAAAAGAAGCACCCCATTTCATTGATCATGTAAGACATCTTGTCAAGAAACGTCGAAAAACCCACCATTGTTTCTTGAAATTTGTGTTGTTACTTGTTATCTTTTCATTGAAAACAATAAATATTATTTTTGTTGTTAAATCTTTTATTAGTAAAAGTTTTGTTTCGTTTTCTTACAAAAAACTGACTTCTTCATCGACTCACTTCCCTCCCCGCAACTATTCTTGAAGTTGGAAGTTTGTCTTTTTTAATATTTATACGAAGTATATTGTTTTAATGTTTTCTAGAAAAATTTGACTCTTTTTTTGGCTGCGCCCCGGTGGGAAGAGATTTTTAGTATTAGGAAGTTTTTTTTGTCAACGATTTTTCTTAATAATTCAACAACTGGTTTAAGATATAAAATAGAACATTGGATTAATAAATGATTGTGATGTCATGCTAACACTGTATCATTATTGTCCTTTTTGATTTTTTAAATGATTTTTTTGTTTATTTACTGGCATTTTGCTTTGTCTACTGTTGGAATTAAACATTTTACCTGAAAGATCATTAAAAATTTTCGGCAAGAGGCGCAGTATTTGATGTCTTTAGAATAATAATGCAATAATATAAACAAATTGCACCACAAATAGAATTAAAATTTGTGTTTCGCCGATCATGTATATAAATCTATTGTAGCAGAGATAACAAAATTGACGAAAATCTGTTCAACTGCATCCAAATTCACCCAAAAAAAAATTTTTATATTTGGTGGAATAAACTTTTTGTTTTTGTAACTTTTATATTGGACATCTCCCTAAAGCTTAGTTTTCTTACATTTAATATAAATATGTTAGTCATTATTTGATTATTAAAGCACTTATTATTCGTTATAAATAATATAATAATATATAATATACGCTAGAATAAATCTAACTTTGGGAGATAAAAAGTACTATATTTTTATATGTGTTGATATGCGTCGATGGTTTTAATTATAGGAGGCTGGGCTGGGAAATTAAGTTTTGAATTTTGTGATACAGTATCACAGACAATTTACAGGTGAAGTAAAACCTTGGCTTTATACCAAAGCAAACAAACAAAACCAAATCAAAACCTCAGTCTATATCACTTTGATAACTAAATGGACAATTAAATCCTATTGTTTAATTTCCGACCACAAAAGTGCATATTTATTAAACAAAAAAGAATTAATTTGTTGAATTATTTGTAAAAGACATTCTTTTGTTATACAACAAATTGTAAATAAAATGAATTTAATTTATCAACGTATCGGCCAATCGTATTTCTAACATTAAATTTTACATATTACAGAGTCACAGACATTTGCGGTGTTTAAAGAATTACTGATAGATTTATTTATTACAGATTTTCTGACAACTGCATATCCAAAAAGTAGTCATATTTACAAACAACATCTATAATAATCCTTTCTAAGGTTTTATTGCAGCATGCCCATTTTTTAAATTGGAAAAGACCCAAGCAAATAGCTCTCCTACCCTAGGTTGGAGGAGTATAGCTCAATGGTGGAGCAGGTACCTTACAAGTACAAAGTGGCAGTTTAACATTGCTCACTAATATATGTTCATACAGCATACCTGGTACAACCCACTCAAGGAGGTTAAGCGTTGCCATGTAATCTTATTAACTTCCAATGAGGAGAATCAAGCCTATTCACTTTCATCATGATAAAGAAACATGACAAAAGCCAGAGCATTAAGTATGGAAAACCAATGAATCATGGAAAATGAAACACGAAAACCAATGAAACACAAATAATTGTTGTTGTTGTTAAATTTTTGCTCGTACAAAAGTATGAAACCAAAAAAGTTAATTCAAAAATTATAAATGTTAATATTAATAAAAATAGATATATATAAAGAAAGGTCAGTTTATAATTTGCTCCCGGTTACGCGTGCAGTTTCTGGTTATGTATTAATTTTATAATAATAATTTATATACATTTATTATTTACATTTTATGATTGTTGCCCATTAAGTTTCTCATGACTTGTTGAAATTTTTTATTACTATTTAAATTATTATTAAATTTATTTACATGTAAAGAAAATAAAAAGACAATAAAAAATTTATGAACATATGTTCATTCAAAACCAAAAATTATTAATATAAAAAAAATCGCTTGATTTTATCCAAAAATTACCATTTTGTTTTCATTGTCAATATCACTGATTCCATGGTTGTTTTTTTTATTATGTTGTGATAGAAAAGCAGCAGTACTGGATGTCCATGATGGAGGATAACAACAGCAGACTTTTTTGTGGTAGAACAATGATGGCAGCAGCTGATGATGTAACGGTTTGTACATGTCAATTTACTTTAATTTATTATAAACAATTACCCTCAATGTATCCTTTTTGATTCTGTATTAAATTGTCAATGAATGTGTATAATAATGCCTAAACCAAAACCAACATACTAAAATAATATATTGTGGTGATAAAAGAAATCCAAGCACTTGAAAATAATCAAATTTAGTACCATAACGATTAAAGAAGAAAGCTGGAGAATTGAAAAATAATAGTTAAATTTATTGACAAATACCACTTAAAGATGGGAACCACAATTTAGCCATAATTCAATTTTTATATGTTGCAGCTAGTTGCAACTAATTGAGGAGCCATCACGAGCCAACTGATGAAGAAATAGGAGTAGATAAAGATAATTGAAAAGAACTTATTAAGCAATTGAGAAATGGGAAAAGAAGTGACATAATAATCAAATTATTGAAGACTGAAAGCAACAAGCTGAGAAGGCTGAAAGAGATAACGAAATACACTTGGATGCCTTGGAAACAGCTAAAGAATGGAGAGAAAGACAATTAGTTGAAAAATTAGAGTGATTAGAGACAGCCAAGAATCAAGAAATAAATCAACATGTCCAAAATTTCAACCAATAAACAGCTTGCTGAATTGATTCATTCAGTAGACAACTTATATCTGACAAATAGTTTTTTGAATTGATGATTTCTTTTTGTTTAGCTTCTACCAATTCATAAATTTTTTCTGCCATTGGTCTATTTCATGGATTATGGTCCCAACATTTCTTCATCAATTCAGGAGTATTATCTGTTATGTGAGGTCTCTTTCCTTTTAAAATATCTGGTATAAAGATAATGATTATTTGGTCTATCATAGAATGGTTTCTTTCCTGCAGTAAACTCCCATATTTCCATACCAACACTGTAAATGCCTGATCCTTTTGTATATATATTTTTTTTGATAATACTCAGGTGCTAAGTATGGAATTACTCCAAATATTTTACTTTTTATTTGTCATTTGTTAACATAACCCTAAATCTCCTATTCTGCTATTATGATGACCATATGAAAAAAAACTTTGTTATGAATTAACATTTAATATCTAATAATAATAGATATTATACTAAATCACTTCTTTTATTAGAATTATATAATTTCAATATGACATTTTTTACTTTACCATTAACCAAGTATTCAATATCATTAAGCCGGTTATATGGAATCCAATTATATATTATCACTATATCATGCATATTTTTACAATTATAAAAAAATCTAATGATCTCTTTATTCCACATTTATCAGGCAATTAATTATTATTTTTCTTTGCTAACATTATTTTTTTTTTTTATCTATGAACTAATTTAGTTTTTCCATTGACCCGTTAAAAAAATCAAAATAAATTTTCTGGAGATTCTTTACAATTGGCACGGTTTTCCATTAACTTTAATGAATCAATCAATTCATTTAATAAAATACTAATGTCATTTTTATAAACTCTGTTTCATTTGATTTATATAATGGCGATTCATTTAGTGTTTCGAATGAGTTGTTGTTTTCTTTAATGCTTAATTCCTGAAGTAGCAAACAATTGCAGTTTAACATTAGTAAATTTGGTATTTTTCACCAGCATTGCATCTTTGATAGTAGAGTTAAATTCATGGGTTTGGAGATGGTGAATTATATGAATTGATATATTACCAAAAGTTGCTCTTTAATTTCATGATAATAATATTAATAGATGATATCAGACTTTTTCTGCAAAGGATAAGATCTTTAATAATAAAGAGAGTTATCAATTATGAAATTATTGAATAAAATTGGCATTAGTTTCTGAAGGATCATCAATAGTAATAATCAATTCAAAGAAGAGAGTAGGGCTCCGAATCTATTTGATTGTCTCAGTTCAATTGAATTTAAAAGACTGAGTTCAATTCTGTCATTTATCATAGAACAACAAATCGTAAAGGTTCAAGACGAATCCTTATCAGAGTTTGAAACGCTATCAAGTTATTTTTAACCCATAGAAGAGCTTTTCCTTAATATACAGGCCGTGTTTACTTGGCAAGCTTTTGGATATTTCGTGGTCAAATTTTTACAAGGTATTTTTTTTTCTACAATCTTTAGAAGTCTGTCAATATTAGAAATATTCTGTTAGTTGGAAAATCAAATGATTCGATTTGATTAAATCTGGACTTGATTTGAATCTTAATCACATCATGAATCAATTAAAATTACTAGATATTAATTCTTTTATTTATTTACAAAAAATTGGTCATAGACATTAAGACGTGATCAAATTATTTAGACATGTCGAAATTATTAGATAAAAACTTATCAAGTAAAAAATATAATTAATAACCTTACTTGGTGTATTTCAATTTTGTCATGGTTTACAATCAGCGAAGGAATAATCCAGAATTAATGGAATTAAATAATGGAAACTATTAAGAATTAAAATATATATATATCAGGTTAGTGATTATCAGAAGAAAGGAATTGGAATTTATAATGTCGAAGATGAGGATGCTACAAATAATCAAAGCATAATTGAATATAATTTTACTGTCGCTTTTTATAATAATCACCAGACTTTGGTAGTATTTGCCACCATTTGCATGATGAAATTGCATCATTATATGGAAGGTTCTTTTTTTCACGATATAAATATGTTTGGCTTATATAGAAGCCTTGTTGAAATTTGTTTTCCGTGTTCATAATTCAATAGCAAATACTATTAAATCGTATATCTTAATATAATTCATCACTTAACAAAAATACCAATACAAATGATTTTTAAAGATCAGGTCTATATATTATATTAGATAAATATTTAATTTGCTAATCTAGCTAGCTATTTATCATTAGAGATCCAATATTTTGCGAATGAATAACGGTTACTAGTTCGTAACGAGATTAGTACGAAAAAGGAATGAATGGTCTAACTTGTATATGGGTTTGGTAAACGTTGTTAAAGAAAGGCGCTTATAAACAATACCTCTTAAAATCCTTGGATAGTAATAGTATTATTACAAAAGAACGTGTAGCGGTACGTTTTTCCTTCGGTTTTTTACTCGCCTTTTGTAAATAATTCCATGCGGACTTCCAACTGATTGTTGTCGTTAATATTTAAAATTGCCATCATATAGCTAGTACCATCTATTACTGCCATATTCACTATGATAAAATCATAGCAACACTATTATTATTGTTCTAAAATTTAATTATTTTATTTATAAACACGTAATGATATTATTATTCCTATAATATATGAAAGGCCTGTTTTGATTGTATGCCGCCTATTTTGGTTGTTATTGGATGATCATGTGAATGATTACTTTGTATTAATAATTCCGAATCAGTTAAATGATTATTCCAAAGCGACATTTTCATTCAAATCACTGCGCATCAATTGGCTTGCATCATGTGGTCGAGAACAGTGATAAATAACCAGCCAAAACTCGTATTCAAAAATATTTCGCCCTAAACTTGATTCATAAAATAATACTCGGAAAATATCAGCGATTATAAAAGGTTAGAACGTAGAGATCCGTAAAAAATGAAATAAATGAAGGAATTGAAAAGTATAAAGTAATAGTTTAAGTAGAGTTCATGGAAGAAGCAGTGATAGAGTGAAAAAAGAAACCCTTTTTTGCACTACTAAAAATGTAAAAGATAATTGTAATTAGTAAAAAAGAACACGAAAAAAAATCATGATCATCATTAAAATATTCGAATACAAAAAAGGCAGTGACAAACCGAACAAAGAAAAAGAATGAAAGCATATTACAAAAATCAATAAATGCTTATCTTTGTTAACAACGAGTTCCAACAATTTATTAACAATGATCACACATTAGAGTTTTGACAGGTATTTTCTTTATTCATGTTGTGTATGAAATTGAAATTATGTATAATAATGTTAAAGGAACATTCGGTAAAAGTTGGAATATTACTAATTGGGCGAGCTGATGATTTAAACTGTGTCGTAACGTTGAACAAATAAATATAACATGATTCAATCCAGTTACTAGCAGACATTCGTGACAAAAATGAAAGATAAAACATAAATAAAAATATGGCGTACAAAGACACATTTAATATATTTAGACAAAATATGATCTGACGGGCATTGAAAGTAAAAGTGAAATTTTAAAGGTTTGAGAGATCTATGCTATGGTTGTTTGTCATAATTATTTTGGTGAAAAAGTGATTATAGAATTCTCAATATTCTTTTTGTGAATGAACACAAAATAACTATTATATATTAATATGCCATTTAACTTAAAGAGTTCAAATGATTCTGGAGACAATACAAAAGCTGATATATAGATACGTTGACGATCATTTATTAAGACAACTATAATCTATAGATGTCAGGATTATGCGGCATTGTTTTTTTTCTCTAAACATTGATGTGATTTAAGAATTAATGGATGTTAACATTATTCCTGGTCTAACCCTAAATGAAAAAAAAAAAATACAACAATCTTGTTATACAATAACAATCCTAGTGAAGATGGTAAACATGATTTTATGGCGGTGATGACAAGAGTGAATAATAATATTTTAGACAAAGTTTAAATGAAATGGTCAAAAGGGAAGGCATTGAGACTACTGTGTAATAAAAATTTTAAGATTAATATTTTCCTGCACAAATTTGAATTGTAAAATAATTATAGTAAAGCCGCAAATATATAATGCATTAATATTAATATTAATATTAATAATATATGAATAAATGTAAATGATTAACATAAGAATTATAAACAAATCACTGATTTTCTAAATAATCATCTTATTTTTAGAATTTTATTTGTTTTATTTACATTTTATAACAAGTATTTACTTGATACTGGTTTGTTTTGATTATTTTTTTGTGGTTTTCAAATAAATATAAATAGCATGCTTGCTATAGTTAATTGAATTAACGGACGGACAGATTAAAAAAAAAAAATTTTTAATAAAATTATTAAAAAAAAAAATTATATAATGACAACAGGAAATTTTACAATCGAAGATTTAGCAAAGAATCTAATTCATAAACTTGATCGTGGTAAAATATTCCCTCCGTATTATGACAATCCAGAAATTTTTATTGCAAAACTTTTAGCTACAACCACTTCTTATCCCACCGTATCTTCTACGCCCACCACCGACACCAACTCGTCAACACCCACCACACTTATAACCAAATTAAAGCCCACAAATTTAATGTTTCGAAAACCAAAACGACCACAAAATGCATTTTTATTATGTAGAAAAAATGTACATCAAGAAGCGAAACGAATTGGATCGTGCAATATGAGAATAATCAGCAAGGTGACTGGAATAATGTGGAAGAATGCCTCAGCGCAAGAGAAGCAAGTTTATGAAAGATTGGCTGATAGAGTTAACGAGATACAAAATCAACGATATCTTCGTGAAACTAATAAAATTCAACAACAACATCAAAAAGCAAAATTACGGGTGCAATTCCAATTACAACAAAATCATCAGCCGACGCAACTGCAACCTCTTCAAAACCAAAGATCGATTTACAATAATAGCAATGATAGTTTTATTATTACAAATAATAATGATAATACTGTTTTGTTAAACGATTTTGATTTTCCTGCAATAAGTGATCAACAATTATTTGAATTGGATTCAACTGCAGTTCCTAATAGTATCATCATTACAAATAATGATGGTGATTACGATAATGACATCCATTCAATATACAACAACTCACTAAGTAATTATTATACCCGCAACAACGACAACCACCGCTGATAAATACTAAAAAACAGGTTTGAATTTTAAATTTTAAATTTTAAATTCAGAAATTCAAAAAAGAAATACCGAGTAATTCATAACCCCTAAAATATATAACCCCATTACACAATTTATGTTTATTTGTATTTTATTTACTTTTTACGCGATTATGATTTATTGATTGGTTCGTTTATATATTCTCAAAAAAAAAAATCTGGTTTAAATCAAGTTAAGATTTTATTATTATTTATTTATATGATGATAATTGTCACGATTGTTAAATGGAGATAAATTATATGTTGGCCGAGAGGTTTAATTTATTAAAATAGCAATAAACAATTTATCATCGCTCGCTTATTTACCAATTAGTATCAACACTGCCGTTATTATACATATTATTTAAGAACGCGCGCATTTATGGTTAGATATTAGATATTTACTTATTATTTATTTATTTATTTATTTATTTATTTATTTATTTATTCTTTATTTTTTTTTTAATTTGTAAAAATCCTTTTGTTTAAATTTTAACAGTTGATAAGATGTGATTACTTATCGTTAATATAATTAATAAAAAAAAATTTTTTATTTTTTCTAGAATTCGTTAGTTCCTTATTTGTTTAGATTTCAAGATAAGATAATTAAAAAAAAATGAATTGATTAAATTTTTGTTTCCCAGAAATAGAAGTTTAATTCTTTTAAAAAATTAATTTCTTGCTTTTACATCCAAGCCTGCCATATTAATTATCCATTTTAGATTTGTTGTATATATATTATTTGTACGTGTAACGACGACACTTGTTCAATTAAATTATTTCGGTCATGTGACTTTTCAGCAGTCCAAATTAGAATATATATTTTAATATTTTTTTTAATAATATATTGTATGTTAATAAGTGAATTCCCATGATACTCCCAAATGAGTATTTACATACATATAAATACCATGCTACCTTTTATCAGCAAAAGCTCCAATCCTCTCCAGGATAAACCTCAAAAACATGTGCTAACTCGCTCCAGTTGCCAGGAAGTCTTTTGCCCCCTTCCGATTTGGGTCAATAAGTCCAACCCTTAAATCCAGTCATTTCCCTATCGTTCTATCAACTAGAGGCTGTGTTCGTCTTGAAGACCTCTTCCCTTAGTCCTGAACTAATGCTGTGATCCGAAACTCTTTTGGAATTTCCAAAATAGTTTGTATAGTGGTTTTAAAGACTAGCTGCAATTTTTACTTGATAAGTTTTGATTGAGATAGTCGCAAATATCAATGAAAATAGAATTTCAAAGTACATGGACGAAACTTCACTCAAGGCAATTGAAGGTAAGGAAAAGGAGAACATCCGTGTGTCTATAAATTGAATAATATAACTGAAACTAGGCAAGTGTTAAAGCAGAGACCAAAATTTTTTTTTTAGTTGATAGCCTGAATTTGTCTCCAACTATTATGTTGACTGTGTGTTTATCTGCTAATCAGGCAGAATAATTTTAACGAACGATAGAGACTCAAAGCATGATAAAGCCTTGTTAATTTGCAGGCAAAGAGGTAGAGTGTTCACACGTGGAGAAAGTTACCTGAAAAAGAAGCCTGGATATGGCAAGTTTGGTTTTTATGGTATTTTCAAAATTCACTGGTGTTTGTTTTTTTATATATATATTATGAAACGGTTGGATAGTTAGAGGTCCTTTGATGAAATAATTTGCAAGATTATGAGCGTGAAAAACCAATTTTGATTTTCAGCAGCATAATTCTTTTAAAATTTTGCATTTTAACAGAATTGAATCCAAAGCTAATGTAAGTGATGAATTATCATGCTTTGAGATTAATTAAGGTCTTTTCTTAATTTTGTTTTTAGATAAATTCATTTACGAGACATTGAAAATCTATCTCGTCAAGTTTCCCGACGAGGTGGAAGTGCAGAAATTTAACTATAAGTGCAATACAACTATTTACATGTTGTAAATATCATCGATAAGTCTATCTGTATAAAATCATTATACATTTGAAAAAGTTTCATTCACAAGTATGTTTACAAATAAACCTTCTATCCATATCATTTATAATTCAATGTTAATTTCCATACTCATTTACACATACACCTTTGCTTTTTATTTTACTATATTTGATTCCAATTCACGACCAAATCTTGGATACGGTCTGGTAGCATTCCCTTACGCCTTGCCTATGACTTGTCATCGGCAGGTTTATTGGAAGTGGATGTCTTCTGGGTGTGTTAGGCAAAATGTGGATTTCGTCAATTAATTCATCATGTATATATCTAAAATTTCTTCTTAACTAACTTTGTCATGAACCTGTTACAAATCAATAGTTTTTTTATTCTAGTTGATAAGGAATAATATGCTTCTCTGGATTTAGTAGAACATTTCATCAATAATGGACTTTTTTGTAAACATCATATTTATAAGTTTATTAATCTATTAACAACTTTTTTTCTTATATATATATACATATTAATATTTTTTAGATTGACTTAACCATCTTAAATTAATTGTCTAATTGATTTGACATTAAGAATAAATGAAAAGTCTCGCTCAGTTTAATGACACTTACTGATCATTGAAATTTTAGAACATTGGGTAAATTAATTGCCGAGATGTCTAATTCATTTTTTTAAAGAAAATTTAAAATGTCCAAAGCTGCTCAATTAACTTAATTTGGATGTGGAGAAATTATTGGCTTAAAGGACCAAATTTTCATATAGAGAAACCAAATAGATCCAAAAGTGCAGTCGAATAAAATAGGAATGTTTTAATATTAGTCCAGAAAGAATCAATAGATTAATAAATAGTATGTCATAAAGGGTGTGATAAGATAAAGGAATAAAATAAAGGAAACGTGACAAGATATTGATTTCTTTTTTAAATAAAATACAATCAATTTAAAAATAGTTTATTGTTTTGTAAAATTTTCTACGGTTTTATTTCTATTTTTTTTTCTCATCAATTAATTTATCAAATGCTCTAAGTAACTAGATTTAAACGTGGGACGCATTTTTTACTCATACCACAAAGGTGAAGATTTTTTTTTGGTTTGTTTATATGTGGTGAAACTTCGGTATATTATACCATTTGATAAGATTAATTTTTACTTAATAAGCAAATAAAAAAAAAAAATCAAATTGATTATCACTTGTGAGATGTTAATCTTCATAGACATTAAAAATTTTGATAAAAGTTGTCAGATTTAACTGCAAGATGGGTTGTTTCAAAAGTAAATTCAGTAAAATCATGGGTTTTCAGAACAATAGTAACAAAGAAATACATATTTTGAAGAGAGAGAGGTGGGTAATTTTGAATCAAAAAGCTATTAAAGATAACTATGAATCAACCAAACAGATTAAAGACCAAATTTAATATTAATTATAGTGTAATGGTAGCTATTCATGAATGACAAAAAATTATTGGTACCTCAATAAGAAACACTGACAATTAGAAAAAAGAAAAAACATTATTTGATATTTCACGTGACATGTTACACATAGAAGTAAGCATAAGCTATATTTATTTGTAGAAAAGACCATTTATTAACGTGTTTACAAAATTTCATTACTAAAATGTTCTTTAATATTAGAAAAGGTCGCGCCACTTTTGAGTCAGTTAATTAATCCATATATTAACGTGGATTTTATATTTAAAAAATCATTTCCATCTTCTTTACTGGACAAAATTATATTTAACTTATGCTTGTTATAACTGAATTAATGACATTTGTCAACACCACAATATGAATTCATTATTATTATCATTATAAGTTGATTTCTGATTATAATGCGTACATCATATTGCATTAGATCAGGGTTGGCATTGCAATTAATAAAATACTAAATATATCAAAAAAAGAAATAAAGAACTTTAAAGTATATAAATACTGTATGATTAATTTTGGACTGAAATTGACGTATCAAAAAAATTTGCAACATTAAAATTCTTTAAATTTTATAAAACAATGTTGTTGTTTAAATTGACTATTACCTGTGTGATCGATTCAATCATTAACACCACCAAAGGAACAAAGTTAATTATTTCGCTATTTGTTTGTTGTTTTTTGATTTTAATATTTATGCATAGTAATATTTTCTATTCACAATAAAGGTTTTGCTTTTATTCGAATTATTCGTTTTTATTTGTTTTATTCACTTTATTCGTTTTATTCGTTTTATTTGTTTTATTCACTTTGTTCGATTTTATTCATTTTGTTCGTTTTGTTCGTTTTGTTCAGTTTTTCATTTTGTTCATTTTATTCATTTTCATTTTCGTTTGTTTTGTTTGAATTATTAATTTTGTTTGTTTTATTCATTTACCTGAACTTGCCAAGACATTCAAATATAGAATCTTGGCATTTACAACAGATAGTGATGGTGATACTGCTCAATGTGAATATGACAAATCTATTGATATCTGGTCATTTGGAATAGTAAATTACTATATGTTGTCACAAAAACATCCTTGGAATGTTAATAATCACGTTAAAATTAGAGGAATACCAAATGATTATGTTGAGCTTTATGACAATATAATGAAAGGTGACCTAGATTTTTCTACATTTAAATCAATTAGAATTGATATTGATTAAATTGAAACTGTTATGATTTTATTCTTAAATTGTGTCGGGTGTAAGGTTGTGTTGGTCTTTGAACTGGTCCCTTTGAACCACGGTCCTAAATTTTAGGACCGGTCTTTATAGGACCAACTGATCTTTCTCAATAAGGAAATTTTGAACAATAAAAATTATCTTTTGTGCATCGGTTTTATGACGAGATTATCTTTTCTTTGGTTTTATCGAAGCCAATTTTCAAAAACTAGTGGTGTTACGATTATAAAGACATCCGAAACAAATACATTCAATTATTGCACTCAAAATACAAAGAACTTTACATCGATATCGTAATGACCTTCATAATTCAATTGACCAGAAAAAACGTGATGAAGCTGTGATAAATTGAATAATTTGTGATTTATAGTCAATTAGTGTAGTAGAGAAAGAAGAATGGTGTACAACCATTGCTGCTTTTGATCCTAGATATAGATTTCATGGTAAAACTGCCATATTTTTATTTATTTATATTTTTATTAATAAATTTGGTGGAACAAAAGGAACAAAAATAGTTAAATTCGTTATTATTTGTTGCCAAAGATTTCTAGGCAATAAGCAGGATAAATTTGTAGAATAAAATAATTGATGAGTGTAACTAAAAAGTTAATTTGAAACCTGGTCATAAAATGTAAGATAATCAATCAAGATTGACTAAAAAGCTACTTCGCAATATGTGATTCACATCAAAATCCTTTAAACAATCCTTAACCAGTCCCAAAGACTGCCAGTCTGTTGGGACCGAAACCGGACCGGACCGGACCGGACCAACACAATCCTAGTCAGGTAAATAAAGATCAAAGAATGACATCTGATCAAGCCTTTCAGCATACAATATTTAATCAATTTATATGGATGGAGGAATAATAATAATAATTTTTAATTATTTTACACATCTGGATGTTTTGTGCTGTGTCTGGCGAACTTGGTGATCAAATATATGTTCTAGTCGAACTGAATACATTGTATTGAATGTAACTCTTTTCACATGAAGTCTGTATATATAATAAAAAAAATTTTACACCATATAAGATTTAATTGGATTGGTTAATTGAACATTATTAATATACCATTTAAAGGCAATGACAATATTTTTGGATGTGAATTAAATCAAATATTAATAGTTACCTATCATTTTTTTTTTATTACTATTAATATTATAATAGTAGCAATTCTAGATTGTGATTATAAATTATTTACTTCCTCCTTCACTTCCTCCTTATTTATGATCAAATTTCTTTCCTATTGATGATACTTTTAAAACTCAAGTATTGACATGCTAGGCCTTTATGTCTTCAAATGAATTGAGATAAATAATTGATGCCATGGAAAAGCCCAATTAACAACCCACAAAAAAGCTCGCTTTCGAAAGTAAGCATTTTTTAAATGCTATTGATGAAAATTTGAAATATTTTTTTATTATTTGCTTTATAAATAAAATTGTGTTTAGAAATGATTAAAGGATTTGTAATTTTGGGGAGGGGTTTTTTTGCCTGAAGATGAGTTAATTGGTACATATGTAAACTCGATAAGTCGGTCACTCGATAAGTCGGTTTACTCGATAAGTCGGTTTACTCGATAAGTCGACCAAAATTTTCACCCCATTCCCTTAATATTTAAGTAATTTAATTCGATAAGTCGGTTTACTCGATAAGTCGGCTATATGAGCTCACCCACACACGACCGACTTATCGAGTTTACATATGTAATGCTTTTATAATGTCCAAACACAAGGTGGAATATGAACGATTATCAAAATAGAATGGTTGATGTAGTGTTTATTTACATTGTCTGATAAAATCAAGCATATATAAACAAAGATTCACAAAAATTGTACCATTATGTTCTCCTTATAAATATTGAAGACTTTTTCTTATATATCAACATGAAACTATCTGTGGTATGTATCTTTATTTAATTTGTTTTTTTTTTTTTTTTTGCTTATTTCATTATCTTTTTGTCTGGCACTATCTAACTCGTCGAAGATTATTTGTTTTTGGAATGTGGAAACTCATTAAATTTTGCCCCACATGATTTACGATATTAATATATTAAATTGGGATCATCGACGTGCAGTAGTAACGGAAAATAAATTTTATTTAATTTCTATTATATTCACCACAGATTTTTTTTCAAATGCACGTAAAACCAACCAAGCAAATAGAAATACTTGATCATTCTTTTTTCAAATCTCTTGTTACTAGATTTTTTTGAATATAGATATTTTCAGTTTGATCTTCAAATTGTGAAGCATATCTTGCTGCAACAAAAAAGAAATCACTTAATCTGGAAAAAAATTTTTTTTTATTAAAAAAAACTATTTAGTCACCACTATTATTATCATTATAACTATACTTTTATTTTTAAAAAAATACCTACCTGTTTAAATATTTTCCAACAGTTTGATCCGCTGTACCAGATACAACTAATGGTGTTGTGACACGTTCAGCTCTTCTGCAAATCTATATTATTATCATATTCAACATTAGACATATATATATATATTTGTATATATAATGATAAATTAAGAGATGGTTTACCGACCGATCTACATTGATGTAGAAACACAGCACTCTCGCTTCCAGATGGCAAAATAAAATACTTTAAAGGTGGAAGCTCCTAAGAAATTAAAACCAAAACATTAGCATGAATGGTGAAATTAAACATATACATACTATGCAATGTATAAGTTTTGATACTTGCTGAATCATATTTATCAATCAAAGACTCCAATTTAGCAATATTTTCTTCTTCGAAAGATGTGTAATCTATTATATTATTATTATAATTGTCGCAATAATTATTATTGTTGTTGTTGTTGTTGTTGTTATTGTTGTTGTTATTATTTATTCAATTCAATTTGTTAGTTCCAAAATAATTATTACTTTCCAAATTAAAATTAAAAGGCAATATAATCAATTAACTTATTTTGGAATCATTTGAATTGCTTCTTGGTGTTGCAACATTTGACATAACTTGAATCAAGTTACATTGTATCTCAATTAAATTTTCTATCAATGAATTTCCCGCTTTTTTACAATAAAAATTTGCAATTCTAAATGTTTTTATAAAAAAAAAAACAAAACAAAACATTAATTTAAAAATAATTATCAACTATTATTATTTAATTTCCTACGCACCCACCCTCTTTATAATTACCCTATACTAGAATTTAATTCATCGATAGTTCCTAACGCATCAAATATAGGATCATCTTTAGGTCTTCGTTCACCATTATAAAGACTTGATTTTCCTGTATATTCATATCAAATCATTTTTTGTTAATTTAAAACTAAGAAAAAATATAAATCGTGTATAGCAACTTACCTTTGTCACCAGTTCTGGTGTAAACTTTGGATTTTTTGGGTGTGTCACTAAAATAAACAATAAATGAATGAATGAATGCTATTATTGATAATTAATTGAATAACATGGTTGTATCAAGATGTTTTTTTTTCCCATTCTCTTTCTCTCTTTTTTTTTTTTTTTGATGTAACTTTTTTTAAAGTGTTATTGCTTTGTCGTTGTTAGAAAATCTTTTTTGAGTATAGTAGTAATTGTCTCTAACCTTTGAGAACCAATCATTCTTTGTTGATCTTTCAAAAAAGTTGATTTTTTTGTTGACGATAATGCTAATGCTAATGGTTTCAAATGTGATTGTGGTTGTGATAATAATATTAATGGTGGTGGTCTCATAAAGACCAATGAAGAAGTCTGGTTGTTGTTGGTTGTCGATATAATAATTCGCGAGATAAAATATGAAATTCTTCTACAACTGCCATTATAACTACAACTACCATCAATGCTATTTTTACAAATAATCTTATTAATATTATGAAATAACATACTTTACAATTTCTGACATAATGTGAAGATTGATTAGAAATAAAATTAATTCGTGTAACTTTACACATGATATAGATTTTTTTTTTAATTTTGAATTCCTATTTTGTTTTTTTTTAATTCTTTAATATAATATAATTTATAAACTACCAAGTTTCAACGACTTTTTCTTTTTTTTCTTTCTTTGAATGTATTGTCCATTACAATAATTATTTTTTATATTACTACTACTACTACTACTACTTCTTACAATAACAGCGATAGTAACAATAATAACAATAACAATAATTAATGTCTTATCCAACGTTATACAATTCAGTTGCAAAAAGTAAAGCCCTTTATAAATTTTTATTACCGGTAGCAAATACATATGCAAATTTATCTGGATATAGACAACTTGGTAATGTAATAAATGTATAAAAATCCAATCTTTATTAACTCCATTTACTCGCCCAACTCATTCATTCCATGCAATTGTAATAAACAACAACAACAACAATAACACGATCTATTTTTATATAGGTTTAAGGTACGATGATCTCTTAATGGACGAAAATGAAACAGTTCAAGAAGCTTTAAAGCGTGTTCCTGAGAATGAATTTAATCTTCGAACTTTACGAATTCGTAATGCGTATCAGTTATCCACTAATCATAAAATTCTACCAAAAGATAAATGGGTCAAACCTGAAGATGTATGCGTTTTTATTTTTTTATTTTTTTTTTGATTGAGTGATGGATGATAAGAGTGAGAAAATCATAGGCGGTCAGTCATATTTGAAGGAAATGATATAATTACTAATATTTTGAAATTATATAATTTATATAGGATGTTAGATATTTGTCACCACATGTTGAACAAGTTGCGGCAGAAGAAAGTGAGCGAGAAATGTTTGATGCTCTTAAAATTGTTGGAAAAGATGGAAAACCATCTATTAATTTTGAATAATAAATAAAATAAAATAAAATAATTCATCTTTGAAAAATAAAAAAATATTGATTATTTATTATATTATTATTCTCTATAAGAATGTCCTTTATTATTATATGTTTACAATAACAATAATAATAATAACGTAAATGAAAAATCATATTTTAATTTTTGTTTTGCTTAATAGCATATACATTTTTCACCAAAAAAAAAAAAAAAAGGAAAAAAATAAATATTCAAAATTTTTTACAAAATGAAATGAAAAAAAAATATATATATAAATTGCGTGTGAAAATGCATCTAAAAAAAATTGTGTATATATATATAGTGTATGTACTTGTTATTTTTGGTTACTTTTTTTTATTTTTTCTTTACTCCACCACACTCTTCTCTCGTCTTATTGTCATCATCCTCTCTCATCTTCTCTTCCGACTCATCCATCAACTTATTAATTAACATTTAAATAATCGATATTTAAAATTAATACATTTCAGCTAAACCAAAATTTTGTTGCGTGCCAACACTAATATCATTAGTTTTTTATTTATCAGAAGAAGATGGTGAAGTTGAATTAAGTTTCCTTATTAATATTTCGTAGATTAATATAGTCAAAGCACTAGAAGGAACGGTTCTAAGCAAATTTGTTGACATCCCTTTATAGAAAGCCATCAAACCTTCCTCTTTATTAATCAATTTAATTGCATTCCAAACACCTTTGTATTTGAATGGCTTGACAGTTTGATTTTGTAGTCTGGTACGAACCACCTCATGTGGATAAGTGGCTAATGATGCAGCCATTTTTGAGGATGATGAAGCGGATAAGATTGATAGATTGGATAAATGTTCTTGATCAGGCGATTCTGTATAATTGTTTACAGAACCAATTATTTGATTAGTTTGTTTTTGTTTAATATATTCATTATTTTTATTTTAATTAATTGCCAATTAATTGATTCCTTCCTTCATCCATTTCATTAATAATATACTTACTTAACCAGACTTTCATTTTTTCATATAATGGAAATTGTACTGCTACATGACTAACACCCATCAAAGAAGGACCAAGACCTTTGTAAAATCCTTTGATGCCTTCATGAGCATAAATTGTAGTAAATGCATGAATTGTGTTCTTGTATCTGTATGATGTCATATGATTTTGTGTCTAATTATTCATTTCAAAAATTAGAATAATTTATACATTAAAATCGCGTAGTGATTTGTAGAAGTCCCTTAATAATTATCTCTTCAAATATATTTATATTTATATATGTATATGTATTTTTAAAGGAAAGAAATGTAAAAATACCATAAATCTTGTTTTAATCACCCATAATGGATTAGTGGCCACGGTACTTGTAGCTCCTGCGCCCATAGCAGCCAGTATATGTACGACCCATTTATTATCATCTAGTCGTTTATCTTGTGATGGAGGAGAAAAAAAAAGTACGATAAAATAAAATTACTCACACTCTTGATCAATAAACAATGATATTATTATATTATAAATTCTAATTTATTATTATTATTTCTATGATTATTTTGATGATTAAGAAAAATTATTTGTAATAAACAATAATATTTCTCGCGTACTTGATTATTCTGAAGTGGTTTGTGATTTGATTTGGTGATTGGTTGATTGGTTGATTTGGTTGATTGATTGGTTGATTTAATTGATTGATTGGTTGGTTTGATTGATTGATTTAACTTGATTGATTTGATTGATTGACGGTTACCGACATTTATTCATCCATCATCAATAAATATCACATTTATTTAACCACCAAAAACTTCAAGTTTTTTTTCCGCCAAATTTCACCCATTCATTCACCCAATTCACTCTTCCTCCTCCATTGTATCGTTTCATTTTTCCCTACTTTTAAATTTCAATATTTTTATATTCTTACCTGCATTCTCTGATAAAGCTAGTTTAAAATAATCATATGCAGAAAAATAAATTGCCCAAGTTGGTAAATATCCATACATTGTGGGGCCAAGACCGCGATATAATCCTTGAATGCCTTCTTCCAGCCATATTCTTTTTAATGCACCTAGACGATACATTAAAATACAACTATGTGAATTTTGCAACTGCATAAAAAAGGAGTTGATTGTAAAAGCAAATATATACTTCCAGTTCCGTGATACAAAGGTACACCTGGTCTGTGGTCGAGAGAGATTTTTCCTTGATTTTGTAACCTTGTTTTTACCACATCTAGAGGACACGTAACCACTGAACTTACACCTCCTGCAATAGCGCCTGCTATTGAGTGTTTTAATTTTTCGAATTCAGCTGGTATAATCATATTAATATTAAGATTACTATATCTATCGTTTGTTGTCGAATTGGAAGAAGAAGTGGAAGTGGAAGTGGAAGAAGGGGGAGAAGAGGAACTATTCATGTAAGGATTATTAACAGAAATTTTCATTTTTTTAATTTATGCTTTGTAATTTTATTGTTTATATATATTTTTTGTGTAAGAGTAAGAGAAGAAATTGGAAAATATTTTTTATGTGGGAAATATTATTATAATAAATAAACACACATTATATTAAAAATTGTAATTAACAATAATAATGATGATAGAAGAATAAATTTAATATGTACATAAATATAACAAAGACCACGTGGTAGCAATTAAATTTTTATTGTTGATTTGATATATTGAGAAAAGAGTGGAAGGAAGGGAAAGATGGAATTTTGATGATGAATTTTAAGTTATCTTAAAAAAAAGATCAAATGATCTCTTACATTTATTAAATTGGTTACCATACACATACATATATTATGACGAATTACTAATATTTATTAAGACTTGGAATTTGTAAAAATACTTGTTAATAAACAAATATTAAATCATTATTGGATATTTCTGGCAAGATTGATTAATTAAAGTTTTTTTTATAGTTTATCGGAAAGGAAACAATGCTTATCTCTTAATACAAATAATAATAATCAGTGGGAAAATTAGAATTTTAATTTTTGTTGTCTAATAATAATTATTTTTAGTTGACCAATTAAAATCGTTGGATAAAATCAATAGCGGCACATAATCTTTTATCCCGCCTTTTTACCAAATATTTTATGTGCCCTTGACTCGAGAGTTTGAAAAAAGTTTATTTGGAAAGCTTCTTTATAAACTATAAATATATGTATATATATATATATAAATATAAATACAAATATTATATAAAGAGAGAGAGCATTAAATTTTCTTCAGAAATTCAAAAAATATACCACCATTATCATTAATTGCAAAATTTTATCGTGAAGACCAAATAAAAAAAATCAATATCATCTTCTTCTTCTTCAAAATATTAATATAATAATAACAACAATAGTTATAAACTTCTTCGTAACATGGAGAACTTGGTTAATTTAACACAAACCATTTTAATAATTTTTTTGATTGCATTATGCTTGGTATTAATTTCGCTCTTGATTTCTTATAAATCCGAAGTGTATAATCATTGGGAAGGTCGTGATCGCGGGAAGTATGGCGTCGATGACGACGACGATGACGATGACAATGACAAAAAAAATATTTTGAATAATATGAATTTAAATGTTGGTAATTATAATAGAATTTTTAGAGATGACGACGTGATCACGATGAAGATGAAGCTGGAAAAGAAGATTAAGAGTCAATAACATAGAATATGCAAATTATAAATTATAAATTATCATATAGTAAATAGACATAATGCATATTAATATATATTACTTGTGCAATACTAACATATACAGATGTTTACAAACATCATCATTGATCGTTGTTAAACATCAACAAACATTCCCATAATTGATTTTATTGTGTGTGAAATCATGAAAATGAGACATGCTATAATTCATAGTGTATTGCTAACCAATAATATATTGTCCCGTCGGATTTTATAATTAATATAATCATTTCCGGGATCTTCGTTATTTTCATCATAATCACATTATGTTATGAAGGTTCCCATTTAAACTTTCTCTCCATCATCATAAGATTGACAATGATGGTGCTGAAAAAGAGTGGAAGAGAGAGAAGAAATTAGGAGAAATAGTTTAAAGAAAAAAAAATATCTTCCTTGCTTCCACTCCATGAATTTTATCCTTTTCGCTAATGAGTAAATATGGATATATATATATTTAATTAAAAATAAAAAGAACTTGTACTAAGATTTTTTACATATAATAAAGAACAATATAATCTGGCGTCTCTTCAAAACATGCATTGCATTGAATGAAATTAAAAATGATTAAATTATCCGATTAATATAACAGGAAAGGTCAAAATTGTTCTATTAATTAGCTTATCAACGAATTACTGGAATCATTGAAAAACACATTGATAATAATTAATAGTTGGTATATCAAAAAGGAAATTATTTAATCGAGAAGATAACAATTAACTAATTAAAAAGCGCGAGAATAAAGAAAATACATAAGATGATTGGCAAGTGAAATTCATAAGATTAACTTTCATACATGCATAATCCATTCAATAACGTATTTAAATTTTGGAAATAAAATTTTCAAATGAGGTGAAATTTCTAATTTGGAATAAAGATTTTTCGGTATGCAGAAAATGGTAACAATTAATTGCAAATTACTTGGCGAGCTAACTTTATTGATTTTCACTAGGAATATTATTATTATTATTATTTATATAAATAATATATATGTTTAATTGTTTGCATGTTTGTTTATTTGTTCCCAAAATGAAATCAAATGTTTTTGTGGAAGTTTACTACAGAAAAGACACCATGATTGAACATATATAATCCATTCCAAATTACTAAAGGCTCAATGAAAAGATGTTGGGATCCAAACTAGAAAATGGGCCAATTGCTTTTGACATTATTTGTAGATTATTGATTACAAGAGATTATTAAATTAGAAAAATATCTGGCAAATAAAAATTGTCACTTGGCAAATTGATTGAGCAAGCCAATTGGGCTTTTATCAACCAAGCCTGCACCAAGACAATTTATGATAAATCGTCAATTGCAAAAACTATTGTCTGAATAAGATTTTAATGCTTTGGTGTTTTATGTCAACTATTAGAAAACAATTTTAAATTTTATTTATTACGTTTGATTCGTTCTTTAATTATAATAAATAGCAATTACCATTGTTCCAATATAACTTATTAATAACCTTCCAAAGCTTACAAAAATCGCCTTTAATATAAGTAGTTATTTGTATTTTTCAGTGGTCCATGATGACAATGATAAACAAATTACCGGTTACAAGAAACTGCGGCAACACATTATTCAATGTTTTCTAAAATCGGAAACTGGAAATCAATTGGTCTTCAGGAAAACTTACATATCATACAAGCAGAACGATATGAACTGTGATTTAACGCTTGAATAACATCTTGTTTGTGTAAATATAAACATTACACGCGTCATTTATATAATAAATAAATATTAAAAGGATCTTGAATAATTCAAATACACACATGCTGTACCTTTATATTCATTCAGGTAAAAATAAATTTGTTTTGGGTTAATTATCGATAGAATGATTTGTTTCTTCTCGTCACCTGACACTTACATTACGATCTGATAAACTAGGCATTGTTTAAATCAATATTTTGTGATTTATTTCTTTGTCTGAAACTTATTATTATACATGCTTTCAGGGATTTGGCGGTGAGCTTAAACAGCTAAAGCGGAAATTTTCAACTATTACTATCAATAACCATTTTTATCAATTATGTTTACATTAGGATTAACACCATTTGTTGAATTTTTCTTTTTTGAATCATTAGGTAAAAATAAGATCCAATTAAGAATTTCTTGTAGGCAGGTCCTAACCGGTTAACTGTTTAACCGGTTTTCAGCCTCTAACATGAATAAATTAGGTTAAATCACTCTTAATTCGTGATAAATAGAAGGGATCGACATGAATTCTTAATTGTATATATACATATATAGAAATTTAAAATGACAAAACATCACACTTTAATTGTAAATCTTTGTTTCAGTAGGTGAAATAAAGCACATTCACATTGTCAGGAGAGTGGTGAGTAAAGGTGATATACAACTAAATTGATTATATATTACCCATTGAAATCTTTGTAATTATAATTTATTAAAGATAATACAACATAATGAGCAGGCATAAGAATTTCTAAATAAATTTTATCATCAAGTAACAACATGCTGACATTTTTTGTTTTTAACAGTATACATAATGATAAATTACATAGTTGTATGATCTTTATTTGATTAATATTAATCCTTGCTTATTTTCAAAAAAAAAATTTTTTTTATATACTTTACCGGTTAGGGGTTTTTTGACCTTTAATTCATGTATCAATCCACCCAAAATCAGTATGCTTTTCCAACTGCAATTATCTTTGAATCATGTACATCAACAAATAACTCAAGTTCGCTCTATTCTAAACCGCAATTTTTTATTTGGATTATGAATAGTTCACTTTTGTAGAATTATTAATACCCGATTCACCCCTAATTGGTTGTAACTCGTTACTATCGTTGTTTTATTGTATTTAGATTTGTTGATTCTATAGATGTAATGGTGACTTAAAACAATCTTGGATGTTCAACTTAATTTTTGTGTCCTTTTGTAAACGCCTGCGGATGTAAACATTAATTCCAGCCAATTGAATTCATTCGACCGATTCAATGTCTATTGCACCCACTATATAATAATAACAAAATTTTAAAAAGCCTTTTTTTTTTTTTTTATAAAATATTCCAGATGGACAATATACGAACCAATGGTTTTATTGATAATCCCAAACTCTATCCTGTTTACGTTTTCTTCTACAATCAAGGTTTAGATAAAATGAGATCTATGATTTGGTCAAACATTTGAATCCAAAGTTTTAGTAGTTTAAAAATCCCATCAATAATGCCACTCTAAACAACTAGATAGATGGTATCTGATATTCCCAGTGAAAAAACAATAGTCGGTTCCTAACAATCAAGAATTAATTGTTTTTTGTTCTAATAAAGTCATCATCCCCACCATTGATAACCTTGTTACTAAAAAAGAATTCTATTTTAGATGATATTTATGCGCCAGATGAAGAGCTTGGAAGAGATGAGGTTTTACAATTTTCTGAACCAAGAATTTCCAATATTATCTTTATTCTAGGGAACAATGTCAAGCTACCTAAACCGAAAACATGCTGTATATAGTATTTTTTTTTTTTTTTGAATAATTGATTAATTGTACAGATTATATATATATAATCTAAGAAGATTTATAATAATTTTATTTTATTTTTTATTGACCGCTGACAATGGTACAAATATTAATAATGTAAAAGAAGTTCCGAGG